CTTGCTCTCCTCTTGACCTTGCTTGTACTCTCACATATATATGTACCTGCTCTTGCTTGTCTAGCTTTATATATATGTGTGTACTCTTGCATGTGAACTGGCCTTGACCCTGTGCTCGGACTGTGTGGTGACTTTGTGATCCACCCTGAGCTTGCTTTGCTTTACTTTGCTTGACTGGTCTTGTGACCCCTTGTTCTCCCCCACTTTGCCTATGGGGGTGTGTCAGAACATTATAGCTTATGCTGTTGTGTAGGCTATAGTGGGGTATCCCATAGGGGGTACAACCAATTAGGGTTCATATTTGTACTCACTTCATTTCATTGTTCATCCATTCTTGTTCAAATCTTCTCAAAACTCGGCACGGCAGTTGAGCAAAACAGAGTTTTCGTTTTGAACTTCATACCTGAGCGCACTACTGCCGACTCTGATAACATTCTCTCGCTTGGTCCTTGGGAGCATCGTGATGATATTGATTACACCGACGATACAGTTCCACGTGAGGGAGTTGTCCCGACGTCTTCAACCACGGCTGCCGCCGTCATGTTGACCTTTGACGATCAAGGCTTGAATGATGTTGAGAACTCTCGGGAGTACATGGCTGCAGTTGAAGGTTGGGGTGATCCGACGAACATGCAGACTGATGACGGCATCTGGGGGGCTGACGAACCTGATGAAACAACTTGGGGCGAGACACCTGCTGAACGCGATGCTCGTCTTCTCGCTGAAGCTGAACAACGCGTCGCTGAAATGGAGATTCTTGACTCGGGTCGTCTCGTTGGAGTTGAACCTGTACCTGCAGCATCCGATCAAGAAAGCGGCGAGTTAGTACTTGCTCCAGGCGAGTACGTGGATGTTGAGGTTCGTGTTCCACCACCAAATCTTACTCGTTACGTCGCACCTGCTTTCGATCAGATCCGCTCCGATGGTCATCAACTTCTGTTGTCGTTCTTCGCTAATGCCGAGTAATACCTGCGCGCACAAGGTCACAAAGCCACGGGAGAAACATGGCATAAACGACTTGGTCATCCGTCGCAGTTTACGCTAAACAACACGATCAAGGCTGCAGTGCTTGACAAAAATTCGTTACTCTTACCGAGCGGTCTCGAACTGAAGCCGGTGAATCGCCCGGCACCCTGCACCATCTGCCCTGCGGCAAACCTACCGCACGAGCCGTTCCCGACTCATTTCCCTGGAGCTGACGATTATCAACTGATGGATAAGGTTTACAGCGATATACTTAACTTACCTGAGGATGGTTTCAACGGCGAACGCTACGTTATCACATTTACAGACGCTTCTACTCGTTACGTTTGGACTGGAAACATGACTAACCGTTTTCTTGCGTTTACAGCTTTTCGCACCTGGCTTCCTCTCGCCGAACGAGAGTCTGATACTAAGCTCAAGGCGTTTCAGTGTGACGGCGCCGGCGAGTATCGCAGTACTGAGTTCACGGCCTATCTGCAAGAACGCGGGATAAGACGACTTTTTTCGTTGCCTCACGCTCATCAGCAGAGTGGCGTAGCAGAGAGGCTCAACAGGACTCTGCAAGAGAAGATGCGAGCCCTTCTTGCCCAGGCTCAACTCGGCCCACTCTACTGGCCTTTCGCCATGGACCATGCAACGCTGTTGCACAATCTTCTTTCGTCCTCGGCCCTGCCCAACAACGCATCACCCCACTTGCTGTGGACGGGCAAGTTGGGTACCACTAAATTACTTCGTGTTTTCGGGTGTGTTGTTCAGTACCGTCCTCCTACCGCTCCGCTCGGGAAGTTCGATCAGCGTGCTAAGTGGGGACTACATCTCGGCATTGAAAAACAATATTTTGCCTGGCGTATCATGGATTACCGCAGCCGTCTTCTTGTTCCTGCTCGCGACTGTATTTTCTACGAGAATCTAACGCTGCCCGTCTTCGAACAGCATCTTGCCATGCAGCAAAACCCTGCCACGCTTTTCCACGGTGTTCGTTCGTTTGCTAACGCCGATGTCGAAATTGCTGCCAGCGAAGAACCTGACTCTGACGGTGCACGTGAAGCTGCTCCCGACCCACCTGTCCCCGTCACGTCATCTGGAATTCCTGAGTTTATTCCTCTTGCTGACGCGGCACCTGAGGATGTCCGCGAAGTTCATCATACTTACCTCGTGGATGAACAACGCCAACCAATGCCGGTGGTTTCCGATAGCAGCATCCGTGTCAACCCTGACGAAATGGGGGGGGCAAGTGGAGACCAGAATGATTCTGTCAATTTCGCAGGTCGTCCCGACGATAATCCACATTATCAGACCGGACTGCAAATTCTGGGACTCGCAGCAGCGGTACAGCACAATTCTACAGTAAATTTGGAGCCGAAAACTGCCCGACAAGCTCTCTCAGGGCCTCATCGCGAAAAATGGCGTGAAGCGATGGATCGCGAACTGGCTGCCCTGGAGAAAAGGGGAACTTGGGATCTTATACCCATTGAAAAAACGGTAAACAAAAATGTTCTCACCGGTAAGTGGGTCTTCAGGGTGAAGACTAAAGCGGATGGTACTTACGAGAAACACAAGGCACAATGGGTGGTTCGTGGTTTTGATCAGACTCATGGGATCGACTACACACTTACCTTCGCCCCGGTCAGTCGACATACGAGTGTTCGACTTGTTCTTTGCGAAGCAGCCGCGAAGAATTTTCCACTTCGACAAATTGATGTTTCCAACGCCTTTCTGTACGCTGACGTCGATGCCGAAATCTACGTCGAATATCCGCACACATATCCGACAAATCCGCCAAGTGTCTGCAAGCTCAAGAAATCACTGTATGGCATCAAACAAGCACCGCGACTGTGGCAGCAGCATTTGAACAGGAAGCTGACGGAGGTTGGGTTTCGACAACTGCCGCACGATCCCGGGATGTACCGGCTAGACGACAAGGGGAGCTATGCGTTGTTAGTGGCTTACGTGGATGACATCCTCTACGTCAGCTCGTCTACTTCGCTGGGAGATCGTATCGAAGCCGATCTGAAGAAGTCACTTGACTTAACCATTTCCACCAAAGTAACTCAATTTCTGGGGTTAAACGTTTCGCGAACTTCTTCCGCTATTCATCTCACGGCTTCGAAGTATGCGGAGTCACTCGCTAAGCGTTTCAACATTTCCACGGATTTCGTTGCTACACCTTATCGGTCTACACTCACTGGGCACGTTCCCAATCTGAAAAAATTGTCAGCAGCTGGTCTTCAACTGTATCAGCAGCAGCTGGGATGTCTTCTTTTCGCAGCAGTCACTTGTCGCCCTGATCTTGCCTACGTCGCAAGTCACCTTGCGCAGTTTTTACGCTGCCCGAAAGAAGAACACTCTCTCGACTTACAGCGTGCGCTACGCTACTTCGTCTCTACACCAACACTCGGATTGATTTTCAATGCTGGGAAGCTGACCGACAAAATGTACCTCAGCGGGTACGTTGACGCAGACCACGCTGGCGACACGTCAGATCGACGGTCACGCACGGGTTATATTTTCCGTCTCGAGCCGATTGGTCCGATTTCCTGGAATTCCTCGAAACAGGAACTGGTGTCACTTTCATCGGCTGAAGCAGAATTCATCGCCGCTTGTGCTGCAACTCGCGAAGGTCTGTACCTGCAGGAGTTACTTGACGAAGCAAAATTCGTCACGCCGAATCAGTTCACGTTGCAGTGCGACAACCAGAGTGCAATTACCATCGCCAACAAGCCTGGTTTCGTCAATCGCACGAAGCATATTTCGCTGCGTTACTTCTTCGTAAAAGACGCGATCGACAAGGGGAGAATGCGCCTTGTCTACTGCCCCACCAGCGACATGGCCGCTGATTCGCTTACTAAGAAGCTGACACGTCAGAAATTTCATCACTGCAACCAGCTCAGTAGCATTTCCGAGTCAACAGGGTGACTACACCGAACTCCTAGAAGTGAAGGGGAGTGTTGAGATAATGTCGAGACTTATGCACTTCAAGGAATTCGTATAGTTAGTACAGTAAAAGTACCGATAGACTGACGTCAGCAAAGCGCTACGCGCCTTAGGATGACGTCATCAGTAGCTGTAGGTATCGCGAATAGTCACGTACCTTTTCAGAACAGGAATAGCGCGAATAAATACAGCACAGTAGGCGAACAGGTACTTTAGTCTAGTTATATATTCTGTATGCTTGTCATTTTATAATATACTTGATTTCAGAGACCTTTGATCCTGTTACAAGTCACTCATATAAAAGACTTCCACTGCTACAGGAAGCTACTATCCTAAGACTACGATCCTATTCAAACAGTTCAGATTCTAACAATCATCAGCGTTTCTGCACTTTGTTAGGCCTTGTGCCCACTCTTCCTCACTTGCTGTAGGCTTTGTTTGTACCATGATTTATATGTATTCCTGCATGCTTGTTCTTGTAGGTAGATTTCACTGTACTGTTGTTGTTACATATATATCTCTGCATGTGAACCGGCCTTGTGGCCTTCTTGCTTGTGCTCAGACTGCGTGGTGACGTTGTGATCCACCCTGAGCTTGCTTTGCACTTCCTGACTGGTCTTGTGACCCTCTGTTCTCCCCCACTCTGCCTATGGGGGTGTGTCAAACATATGTATAGGTATGTTATATTTTGGGTAGGCTTAGTGGGGTACACTCTGTAGGGTACAACCCCTTAGGGCCATTTTTTCTCTTTGTACCACCATCTCAATAGTCGACATCCATTTTCATGCCTAACTTCTAAGAAATTGGTTCCTGTTTTGAGATGTTATAGAAGAGTGAAACACTGGCTTGATGAGGTGGTGTTAAAATAACAATAACTTGATATGGTGACCTTCCACAGGCGGAGTTGCATAAGAGCTGCATAACTCCATAAAATAATAAAATCCTGGGCAAAATGCTCTCACAGAAGCGTATTTCCTGCGTTACAGACAGACTGATGGTTTTAGCAATGACCACTGGAGGCAAAGCCTGCGAGGAAAAACATTGCCAAAAATGCTAAAAGCAGAGTATACACTCCAACTGACCTGAAGCGGCGTTCCGCTTGCACTCAGTAAGCATGTCCAGGTAGAATTGGCATTTGGAGATGTCGCTCCCATGCATCTCCACGCACTGCCCAGAGTAGACAAGCAATGGGAAGCATTGTGAAGTCTTATACCCGAAAGCAGCCCGTCCTTTTATGCAGTATATTCCCATGGAAGACGGATCTGTCGGAAATATCTCAGATCCCTCGCACGGATCCCTACCTTGTTAAAATCCTGCTGCAGCTGAGCGCAGTCCGTCGGCGAGCTGGCAGTCGTGGGAGCGGCGGCAGCAGGCGCGGCTGCAGGCGCGGCGGAGTTGACGTGCTCATGCACGACAGTGCGCGGACCCATGATGGCATCCACCGCTCTGTTGGCAATGGCGGATCCTGTTCCGAACGCCATGCCCTCTCCCACCGTCTGCATCAACCCACCCAGCATGCTCCCCCCTCCGGAGGCTGCTGCTGGCTGCGCTGGGGGAGGTGCTGGTTGTGCTGCTGCGCAACCAATGGGAGGGGACAATACGAGAATGCGAGGTGTCAAGAGAAGAGACAAGGTCGAGAATCTGAAGGCAGGAGCTGAAAATCTGGCGGATCGGGATATATCAGGCACGACGAAAGGGCGAAAACGGTCGGATGGAGTACCAGGTGCGGGAGGAGGCGCGGAGTGGGTGTGCGATGCAGGTGCTGGCCTCGGCGCTGGTCTCGCCGGTGCAGAGGCCCGCGAACCTGCCGCGAGAGATAAAGCACACGGACAGACAATGAACCAGGGGTAAAGTACTGTCCGTAACCACGTACGAATTAAAGTACTGGATGATCTCAAAAAACAAAAGGCCCACCCGATGATCTGCTAGTTGCACGCGGCATCCCGTCTACTGAACGGTACCGAAGAGATTAGATACGAGAAGAATGAACACAAGGACCGCGGGTCCCACAACAAGCTAGCTTCAGATCGTGGTGCTGCAGCTGAGAGTGCGTGAGCGGGGGACGGGGGATGAGCGGTGAGTGAGTTTGGCATCAGCGACTTATTGAGTTTAGCAGAACTATCTCGAAAAATATGGAAGCAAGACGTGAGAAAAGCATGACACCTGTGCGTGGAGCTTGGGTTGATTGTTGGACCTTTGGTATAATCGAGGAGTCACGACGACTTACGAAGACTTGGCGGTGTTCGCAGCGATGGCGACAGATTTCGCAGCACGCAACCACCAATGGTTGGTCACCGCCCCTCCAGAAAGTTCGGCACCCGATCATCAATGATTCGTGCATTCTGTCAAAACAATACGCATTATAAACATGTTCTTATCATACGGCCTGATGTCCCACTTTTCAGATACCACGACCTTACAGATTCTGAGCTTAGTGAAAGCGTGAAATCATAACGCGTCATAAGAGAAGCGCGGATGCCGCACTGGAAAGTCGAACAGACAACCTGAATGCAGATTTTCCGTTGCAGCACATTGACTCTGGTTACTAGCACCTTCGCAAGGATTCCGCCATTCGAAGGTCGCAATTCGTGCACAGTCCCGCTGCTCGGCGATTATCCCATTGTCCAGATTCGGTGCGCTTGAGATAAGCAGGCGCGCTCATGGCGACGACAACGCAGCCGCTGCTACCATCTCAGTCAGACTCCGTAGATGACCTCTTTCGCGCCACGCCCGCTCTTTCGAACGAATACAGCGGCGTCGCTCCGGCCAGCGCCGCCAGCGCCGTCAGCGTCGCTCCAGCCATCGCCGCCATCCCCCCGCCGCGCCCGCAGAACACACTGACCGGTGGGTCCGGGTGTGAGCCAGGGGAGTCAGTCGCATGGGGAGTCAGTCGCATGGGGGGTCAGTCGCATGGGGAGTCAGTCGCAGGGGGGGTCAGTCACATGGGGGGTCAGTCGCATTGGGGAGCCATTCGCATGAAGAGCCATTCGCATTGGGGGGACGTGCACAGAGTGCGGGCAAATGTGAATAGACTCCCAGGATTCCCTTCTTCCATTGCACTCCTCCTCCCGGCCTCCTCTCCTCCCACCAGAGTCCGTATCGGAGACCCTGTGGAGGGACGCGCAGCGAGTGTGGGTGAACCTTGAGTCGAATCTAAACATGCCCACGCTTTATTGCACTCCTCCCCTCCCCACACCTCCTCCCACCAGAGCCTGTATCGGTAACCCTGCAGCGGGACGTGCAGCGAGTGTGGGTGAACTTGCGGTGTGTGCTTGTACCGAGTGAGCGGAGCTCCCTCAGAGACTGGGACCTGTGGGGGCCGTTCTTCTTTATCATCACCCTCGCTCTATTGCTCTCCTCATCCGCTACGCACAACAAGGTGAGCATAATGGACGCAGATCAAGGTGATTGTAGCGAAGGCTGAGCTGTGCAGGGCTGGACAAATGCTACTTGAGTTACCCACCAGCATGCGTCTTGCAAACTGTCTGCGCCATTCCATCTTGCATTTGCAAAAGAAAGGGTTCTCGCTCATTGAGTGATTCACTCGTTCTCTGTGTGTCACAGGCGCATGTGTTTGCAGTGGTGTTCGGGACAGTGTCAACAGGAGCCGTAGTCCTCACTCTCAACGTGCAGCTGCTGGTGAGTGCCTAATAAGCACTCCGCCTCACACTCAGGCACACACTCAGGCACACACTCAGGCACACACTCAGGCACACACTCAGGCACACATTCAGGCACACACTCAGGCACACACTCAGGCACACACTCAGGCACACACTCAGCCAGAAACATGTTCGCCCCTGCTCCCGTTCCTCTCACCACCTCGTCGCGGTCATGCTTCCCCTGACACACGTCTACCCCTTTGCATCTCACTGCACCCCTCAGGCTGGCCCATAATTAGGCATGCCCCTCTGCATCTCACTGCACCCCTCATGGACCCCCGTCATGTCCTTTCATGTGCCTCACATGACTCCCTCACACCACAGGGTGGCTGCATCATATTCTTCCAGAGCCTCTCCCTCCTCGGCTACTGCCCCTCACACACATACCATATGCTCATTTGCATCTCATTGCACCCCTCATGTCGCCCTGTGTATCTCTCGCTCCTGCACTCCTCTCCCTCACACCACAGGGTGGCCGAATCATATTCTTTCAGAGCCTCTCCCTCCTCGGTTACTGCCTCGTGCCCCTCGACCTTGCCGCCCTCCTCTGCCTCCTCACCACTGGCAAGCTCGTCCGCATGGCGCTCGTTTTAGTCACATTCGCCTGGAGCTCTTCTGCTGCATACCCCTTTGTGGCGAAGGCTGTTCCGGAGACGCGCAGGGTGCTGGCAGTGTACCCTGTGTTCCTGCTCTACACTGCTATTGGCTTCCTCGTGCTCGCTAATGACTAGCATACTGGACTGTACTCTGCATTGCTTGACCCCTCCTGACAAACATTCATGTGTAGATACTCTAGTACCAGTCCTTCTGAAATGTATTGTAACGCGTTAAATATTATGCGTGAATCAAGTCATGCAACTCATCATTGCACCATGGAGCTACTCACGTTGCACAATAACGCGGATGGCATCCAGGCTATCAAAGGGCAGGCCAGACACAGACCCCCCTAGGCTCAGCACTCTCTGCAGCAGCCCCAGCGCCTCTGCAGTGACCACCTCCCCCGGCAGTAGCACTGGGATTCCGGGCGGGTACGGGCACAGCATGTCCGCACTGTAGCGCCCCACCGCCTGCTGAGCTGGCACAACCTCACTGGGCGAGAAAAACGCATCCCGTGGGGGTAATTGCGGGCAGCACACTGAAGTCCCTTTGCTGGTCGGTGGTGCAACCGGAAACAACGCTCCTTCTAGCTTTACTTCGCCCTCCTCCCACTCTACTGCATCCCCACACTCAGTGACTCCTCTCTCCTCCACCATGGCAGCAAACGCAGCAACAGCACGGTCCACATCGCTCTCAGTGCTGCCAGTGCTGACAGCATACATGATGCCATGCAGGAAGGGCAGCTCTGCCACCACCCCATGCTCCAGCCTCAGCACATCATCAGCCTCGTACCCTGTCAGCCCCAGCTCCCTCACACTCACCGTCACCCGCAGCGGGTCAAACCCCGCGTTCCTCTCGGGCTGTTTATGGCTTCTCGAGGTTTGGTCTGGGCTGAGGAGGACTAGCAGGCGGAGGGCGAGCAGGGAGGAGCGCAGGCGGGTGGCGAGGCGGAGGGCATGGGCGAGGGCGGAGGGGAAGGAGGGGCGGGTGACGTGACCGGTGGTGGCGTCGAGTGAGGCGAGGAGCAGGTAGGAGGGCGACGACGACTGCAGCAGCTGCAGCGCTCGCGCCACGTCACGTGGGCTCACACGGGGTGATGGCGACAGTGGTACTTCTGGCAGTGGTGCTGCTGCTGAAGGTGGTGGTGCTGCTGACTGCGATGGTTCCTCTGACGGTGGTGGTGATGCGGTTTCACCCACATTCGCAGCAGGAGAGCCTGAATTGCCATGGCCGATATGCAGCATGGCGGATTGGGTGAGGGATCCCAGCACCTTGTGCGTCGACTGCACCACTATGTCTGCCCCCGCCTCAAGCGCCGTCTCTGGAAGCGCGCTGTGGAACTTAAAGTGCGCTCCGTGCGCCTCGTCTACTATTAACGGCGCGCCTGCCTCGTGACACGCCCGGGCGATTCCCCTGATGTCGCTGCATACCCCGTAATAAGTCGGGGAAACCACCAGAACAGCCCCTATTCGCGCTCCAGTAGCAGCCACGTGGCGTATCGCCTCTGTAACGCTATCCAGGTAAACTCCGTGAGCAATACCCCAAAAATGATCGGTCACTGGGAGGATATAGTGCGGCACGGCTCCTGATAGCACCATACCGGAAATTGCGCATTGGTGAGCGTTGCGAGGTAGAATAAGGACGTCGCCGGGTCGGCAACAGGCTACTATGGCCGCCTGCACGCCTACGGTGCTGCCGTTGACTAAGAACCGGGTCTCCGACGCGCCGAATACTCTCGCTGCGCGCTCCTGCGCCTCGGCTATGACGGATTCTGGGGCGAAGAGGTTGTCGAGATCCGGCAGCTCTGGCAAATCGTGACGGAAAACGTCATCGCCGAACGCGGAGACAGCACGGGAAGGCGCTCCGAGACCCCTGCGATGAGCCGGAAAGTGGAAGCTTGCCACGTCAGCATCCGCGTTGCACGTCAGCGCGTCCAGAAGAGGATCGGATTGATTCGACTCGGAAGCTTCGATCGTTGATTGGGACGCTTCTAAAGATCCTAATGAATCATCATCACATTGAATCGGCGACTGGGATGATTCTGCTTGGCACGAAAGTGGGGAAACGCGACAGCTACGGTGTGCAAAGCGAGCGAATGAAGCGTCAAGCCTCCGATTAAACGGAAGTGAGCGACTGAAGCATGGCGCCGTGGGTAATCCAGTCCTCGCGAACGCAGCGGGCGAAGACAATGCCGTCATTTCTGAACGCCGTCAAATTCCGGCCTCACAGACGTACCACTCAGTTACACGGTGTGTATCAACAATGCCGAAATGGTAGTCGAATAAGCTATAAGTTCTACATGCCTGGCTTGGAACCAGGCAGCCATAAACAATCAACGATGAAGTGATCAGGGAAATATACGAGGCGAAGTGAATTCAGCTTCTTTCTGCTGCTGGTTGATGGTGAAAATGGGAAGCAGAAACTGAGAAACTGGCCGAAATGATTTGCGACATTTGTTACTCGCTCGCACGGGAAACTTATTGCCCTTCGTTGTTACAGAGCACTCTCGAAGGGAGCCAATCTTCGCATACCTCCGCACTTCTCCCCCCCCCCCCTTTGCGCCACCTCCCGTGCCCTTTCCCCGCCGTTCCCCCATCCCTGCCTTGAAGCAACCCTATTTTCCGACTCCCCCCGCCAGCCTGTGTGCTTCCCCATTCCCCATCACCATTTCTCCACCGCACCACCGCCACATCCATCCGTCCTCCGCCATTTCCTCACGCCTCGCCTCGCGGGTAGCCTCGTGAGTATTCGTCAAGAAGAGGGAGAGAATCGGTAGTGAACTATGGCGGCTTCGTCGTACTGGCGCGCAGCGGGGATGACGTATCTCGCGTACGCGAATCAGTGCGCTGCGCATCTGCGGGCGTGCCTGAAGGAGCCGCTTAAATCGCAAGCGATCGCGCGCGAGCAGGTGTACTACAAGGTGGTGCAGTGGAAGGAGGGCGTGCCGGATAAGCCAGGTGCGTATCCCTCCGCATCCCCATCCCTAGGAATCACCCGAGTCCGTATCACCTCGCCCGTGCACAGCGATCGCGCGCGAGCAGGTGTATAACAAGGTCGTACAGTGGAAGGAGGGCGTGCCGGATAAGCCAGGTGCGTATTCCGAAAGCCTTGTCGTCTCACCTCGCCCCATGCGCAGCGATCGCCATAGATTCACGCGTCGATCAGTTTCAGGTTAGATTCCTGGCCAATATTCCCCGTCATTTTGCCGAAGTTCCTTCCATCTCTGCTGAAGTTCCAGCGTTTCCCCTAAAGCAGTTGGCGTCCATAAGTACGCCATAATATGCACACTCTTTGGAGCCTCCATGTAACAATCCTTGTGATGTGATCCGGCAATAATCTCCCTTCGTGCATGTCCCTCCATGTCTCTGCTGCAGTGATCCGGCAAGTCTCTGAGGCGGTGAAGTCATCTGCCTGATCCGAGGCGGACTGATCCGATCCGACCACCTCTTCCTACCCACTCTATGGCCTGGAGTTGACATGACACAAGGGCCGTTGGCTGCTGCTGTGGTGCATGCTTGCTTGCATTGGTGTGACTCTGTTGGGTTCTCCTTGCAGACCACATCATGTGAAGAGCTGCATCCTGTTTTCACTCTGCTAGTGGTGGTCCGTTAGTCACCTGTACGTTGAGTACGGTATCAGTCATTTAGACCAGTTTGTACAGTGGCCCCTTGTACACGTGACATGTCAAAATCAAGTAGCCTAATCACCTCGGGAGTGGAGTGCATGAAAGGAATGGCAAGACGGGGTAGTAGTCACTCAGCAAGGCTATGTGATGTGACCAACTAAAAACCTGCATGTGATGCAAGTGGGCTCTAGAACGGACAACAGGATGAGCTAACAGCACAAAATTTGCAATTTCAATATATATATGTACAGCACCAGTACGATGTCATATACATATATGAACACAAACCGTTAAAAACGGTACACGCAGACTCACACATGGCTGGATAATGACCAGCTCAACACAACACAGAAAGAAAAAACGACTCAACCAATCAGAGCAGGCTGCAGCAACTCGCCTGCCCCACTCCCAGCAGCAACTCGCCTGCCTCACTCCCCACCCCTTCCTCCAGAGATCTATCCCTTCAATTGAAGCACCTCCCTATTGGACACATCTCCCCCATCAATGGGAGGCACCTCCCCCCTTCACTTCGTCCCACTCCCTTCCATTCCCGCTCAATTGAGACATCTGAGGCTGTACTCTGAGAAGCTGCGAGGAAGCTGTGAGTGCAGCAGCTCCTGGTGTTGCAGCAGTGGTGGGGGGTCGAGTGAGAAGCACACTGTCAGCACCGTCACGTTGTCACACGCGTGCCGCCGAATCGCCTCCTCCACTAGATCCTGTGACACGGAACAAGAGTGGTTGAGTGCGGGGCAATGAGCTAAGCCACACACGATCAAGTCTGAGTGCACACCAGGGATTGACTGGCAAAACAGGGAAGGACTACAGCAGGGGATTAGGAATAGTTAGAGTGTTTTAGATCAGCTTGAAACTGAACATGAACGCAGAAGCCGCACCTTGGAGCACTGCTGGGGGTTGTTGTGGAGTCTGAGTCGCCTGCGAGCAAACGCCACCACCTCCTTGCTGCCACCGCCCTCATTGTTGAAAGCGTCCCACAGCCCATCACACGCCAGCACCAGAAACTCGTCCTCGGGGTTCGACAGATGCGCCTCGTGCACCTCCGGATCCGCTATAAGCGGCCCCTCTATAACATCGCTGTCGCTGTCGCTCCCAGGGGATGGTGGCGACGCCATCGCTGCAGCGGGGCCTGTACAGGTGGTGCCACCAGCTCTTCTCACAGCAGCATCCGCTTCACTGCTGCCTGGAGCATGACTGCCACCTGCCGTATCAGTAGCAACATCTGTAGCAGCACCTGTAGCACCACATGTAGCACCACTTGTAGCAGCATCTATAGCACCAGCTGCGCCAGCTGCACCAGCTGAATCAGGTGCAGCGGCTGCAGAGGAGCGGCGGGTCTTGAGCCCCTCAATGTGCCAGTCGCCCAGCGCCCGGGTAACAGCGAGCTGGTCGTTCAAATAGTCGTCCACCACCCACCCGCCCGCCCGCTCCACGCGCGCGCGCTCGTGCTGGCAGGCCGCGCGGTGGTCGCGCGACAGCTCCACCGCCTGCCCCCTGCGGCACAGCACCGCCCGGCAGTCCCCCGCGTTTGCTACGTACAGCGACCTGCAGGGGTTGGGGGCGGAGAGGGATGGGGGGTGGGGATGTTGGGGGACGAAGGGATGACGTGATGGGGGGATGAATTGATGGAGCTGAGGGAAGGCGCTATGCGTACACTCTCTACACCCACCGCACGTGCTACACCGATCGCACCCACCGCACCTACTACACCGCACTGCACGCACTGAACGGCACGTTACCCACAACACATACGCCCTACTTCCTATGGTCTCCCCACCTGCCCAGCAGCAGCACGGCCAGCGCAGTGGTCCCCGAGTCCATGGCGTGCCCCTCCGCCGTGCGCGCCGTCTCCAGCTCGCGGTCCGTGCGCAGGAACGCGTTTCTGAGCGCGCTGCCCACGTGCAGCGGGAACGCCGCGTCGCGCACCACGTGGCCCAGCAGCTTCTGCCGCGCGAATTGCGCCGCCGCGTCGCCGCCGTGACCGTCGAAGATCTGCGGGAAGAGCGGGACGGTTAGGACGGGCCGACGGGACAATTGACGAGAAAGGAGGGGGGGTTGAACGACGGGTAAATTGAACGACAATGACCATGAAAGAGATGTATGACGGGAAAGAAGCTCTGTACCGTTTGAAAACGACTTGACGTGCCTACGTGATCTTACTCTTAACCGAGCCTCATGCCGGACCTACTCGTGACTCACCCCGTAAAAAGCTCGCGGATGCGCAACGGCCACGTCACCAATCGCCTGTGACAAATCATCTACCGCCACGTGGGCGTCTTCCATCCGCTGCCGGCCGCCTTTATCCGCGCTAAAGCCGGAGCGCACGACAGGCCACGTGGACCCTCCCGACCCTAAAACTGACTGATCTCGATGCTCCGGCTGTTGAGATACACCCCCATTCTGCTGCTGCTGCTGTTGATACGGAATCCGCGAGTCTAAGGAGGAGGGTGCGATGGGTGCGGTGGGAGGCAGGTGCAGCGTGCAGCTGCTGTGCGTGCGAGCGCCGAGCATGCACAGCGTGCCGTCCTGCAGGACAAGCGGAGGTAGAGAGGGACAGGAGGGAGGGGTTGGGAATTGCGGTTAGAGTGGTTCATGGAAAGACAGCTGGTCTCAGCAGAATAGCCGGCATGAGCTACTTATTCACCGCTCGATCGTGGAAACGGAAGCTATGAAGCTTTAGGATGTAGCGACAGCACGCAACTTACTTCTATTCGAGGCGGTTTCATGGGGTAATTCACCATGACCCAGACTGTCGATGTGCACCGTCACAAGCTTATATTCAGTCTCTGGCCTGACAAAATTCGAGATAAATAACTACGCTCTACGAAGGCGGAATCGCTTCTTTAGTGCAATACCAATAGTCAGACCTATAACAATATAACAAAATCCACTTGATAATTAGCTTTCCGAACAAGAGTCGTTGCGCACTGGTCAGCTTCGTAAAGCTGCAGCTCAAAACGTCAGAGCAACACAACTCGCCTCGACAAAACCAACTCGACGGTATCGTTCTGTAGGCACCTGATGATTGGGGGAGGAGGGAGGAAGAAGGGATGAGGAGGGTTTCCGAGGTGGGTTCCGAGGTCGATTTTCCCCCCCGGGCAAACATGCGATAAGGGAAATTTCTGATTTTTTGGAGGTAGTTTCCGAGGGAGAATGACGAACTTCTCGGGGAATTTCTCGCGCCCAATTGAGGGGTAAATCGCGACCATCGAATGCAGGACTAGGGTAATTATTTGGGGGTAGGCGTTTTCATCATAAAAAAACCCCAACATACAGGAGTGGTGAGCAGGCCTCTAGGGTTTTCACTTTGGTGGTTGGTGTGTGTTTTCCTCTTTTTTTTTTTTTTTTTTTTTTTTCGATTTGAGATTTGCAACCCTGTTTGGGTTAGTGGCTGTACAGAGAAGCTTGTTTCTTGGGTGGGAGGCTGGTGTTCCCACGCCCAGCTCCTCCCTCCCGTCACCGTCGCACTTCCCGTGAAGGTTGGGTGGCCGATGGCGGGGCGGAGGCAAATAAATTTGCCTGAGGAGGAAGGTGGAGAGGGGAAATAGGAACCTTCTTGGGGGTGCATTTCCCTGGAGGGAAATGACTGTTCTGCAGGCATTTCCCTTCGATTAGGTTTGGAAGGGAAATGACTGCCACGCCAGCCTTTTCCGGGCTGACCGCCATTTCGAACCTAAAAATTGCAGAGGCAGGCAGCTTCCTATTTTCCCTCCCCTTCCATCCGTGATGCCTGCAGAACGATACAAACATGGTGGTGAGGGGCAGGTAGGCAGGAGAAGAGCGGAGTGGAGTGGAGGTTGCGGCGAGTGCACGCATGTGCTCCCTGATGCTGGGGTGGTGTGTGCGGTGGAATCAAGGGAGATCGCCACAAAACTCCCTTGGTCATGGATGGATGGTTGGATGGAGCTCTGGGGAGCCTCGAGAATATACCAGACGTACGTCTGAGAAGTTCGGGTGAGGTGCGTGAACGAGTTATTTGGCTCGGTGAGGTGAATCAAGCAGCTTCGGCGAGGGGCTAGGGGGCTTCGGCGAGGAGCTTATTGGCCAACAAGGTGCGAGGGAAAGTGACAGGCACGTGGTTTGGTTGTGCCTGACTGACGAGCGAACAGACGGACAGCACAGCGACGGGAGAGTGATGACAGATGTGACCACGGACCACTGGCCAACCAACCAAATTACAGCTGGAGAAACGGTCAGCTGGAAGTCAAAGCAAAACGGAATGAGCTTCGAACGAACTGCCATGAAACGTGGCGGGCAAGTTGAATCCAAGGGCTGAGTCGGCATCAGTGACAAAAGCTATAGATTGACGGCTCCGATCGGATCTGTCGCATCCAGCTTGAAGTTCTCTGGCAGGTGGTCACTGAGAGCTGGTGCAAGCTCATGGGTTGACGACGACCTGAAGAGGATATTCGCTACACGGTAGCTTTGGGAGAAATGTTGTACTACATGACATAAACCAGTCATTTTCTGCAACCGACGCATCCACAACCGCGGACATCCTTCCCCCCTGATTTTCCCCTTTCCGCACCGCAGCACCTGCCTTTCTTTCCTCGTAGTGCCTTGTTTCTGTTTCGACCATTTGTAGTTAGCAAAATTACGTGCTTTTCGGGTTCGCCTAGTTATTAACTAGCCGTTCCTTACTTACCTGGTCGCATTGGGTCCGCCGTCATGAATTACCGTTTCAAGAACCTCCTCGGTGCGCCGTACCGAGGAGGTAACATCCTCCTTCGCGAAGACACGAAACTCTATTCGCCAGTTGGTAATCGCGTCAACGTCGTAGACCTGACGGCATCGGAGTCGAACACGCTTCCGTTCCAAACAATGACTGACGTGTCACTCATCGCGCTATCCGCCGACGGAAACCTTCTAATAGCCGTCGATTCAGATGGACGGTCCAGAATGGTCAACGTGCATCGGCGCGTAGTGCTTCATCTTTTCAGATTCAAGTTCCCCGTGGGAGCCCTCAAATTCAGCCCGGACGGAAAATTCTTCGCAGCAGGGGTTGGGCGACAACTCCAAATCTGGCACACGCCTGAAATGCGAAAAACCTTTTCGCCCATGCGACTGTTCAAGTCATTTTCGGGAGGTTACGACAAGGTCACGGCGATTGATTGGTCTCCCGACGGAAAGTGGATCGTGGCCGCAAACAAGGATTTAACGGCCAGGATTTACTCCCTGGATTCCCTCAAAATGTACAAGCCGGTGCGGCTGACTGGGCACAAGGATGTGATTGTAGGCGCGTTCTTCTATGGAGGGGGCTCTGCCATTATGACTGGAGCTGGCCCGAACTTCAAACGGGCGGACGTGGCTCTGGGTTTAAGGGGGGTTCAGGGGGGACAGGATGGGCTGGGGGAGGGCCCTGGGGGGGCGGAAAAGGCGCTGCGGATATACACGGTGTCGAAAGACGGCGCGCTGTTCTCGTGGTTCTTCGATCCGCTGCACAAGGGCTGGCGCAGGCGGAAGGGGAAGGGGCGCAGAGCGAGCAGGGGGGACCAGGGGGATAAGGGGCTCAAAGTTTATAAGAAGTCTACGGAGGGGGAAGGTGGGGAGGTGGTAGATGATGAGGGGGAGGATGGGGATGATGAGGAGGGGAATGAGGAGAAGGACGAGGATGAGGAGGATGAGGAGGAGAAGGACGAGGATGAGGAGGATGAGGAGGAGAATGAGGAGGAGAATGAGGAGGAGAATGAGGGGAAGGATGTGAAGAAAGAGAAAGGGAAGACGAAGGAAGGAGAAGAAAAGGAGGAGGAGGAGGATGAGGAGGAGGAGGAGGAGGAGGAGGAGGAGGAGGAGGAGGAGGAGGAGGAGGAGGAGGAGGAGGAGGAGGAGGAGGAGGAGGAAGAGGAAGAGGAAGAGGAGGAGGAAGAGGACGAGGAAGAGGAGGAAGGGGCTGAGGTGGAGGCGGATGGTGGAATGGAAGAGAAAGCAGAAAAGGATGACGAGGAAGACGAGGATGAGGAGGAGGAAGAGGAGGAGGACAAAGAAGAGGAGGAAGAGGAGGCGGAGGCAGAGGGGGAGGAGGAACAGCCAAGAAAGAAATCACGGCTGGTAGAAAAGGCACCCGCACCCACCCATGTCCGCCGGGACTTCCGATTGGACGAGGGCAAGTGGCGCCTGGAGGCGAAACATTTCTTCATGCTGCCCAAGGCGCGCCTCACCTCCTGCGACCTGCACAAGCCGACCAATCTCCTCGTCGCCGGCTTCTCCTCGGGCATCTTCGGGCTGTACCAGCTGCCCGAGTTCGCCACCCTGCACCTCATGTCCATCTCCCGCACCAAGATCTCCTCCGTCTCGTTCAACGAAGCAGGGGACTGGGTGGCAGTGGGCTGTGCGCGCCTGGGGCAGCTCCTCGTATGGGAGTGGCGCTCTGAGACCTATGTGATGAAGGTCCAGGGTCATTTCTACGATGTCAGTTGCGTTGCGTTCTCGCCGGACGGCACCCGTGTGGTAACCGGGTCGGACGATGCCAAGGTGAAGGTCTGGAGCCTCGCGTCGGGGTTCTGCTTTGTAACGCTCGCGGAGCACACCGGTCCGGTAACCGCTGTCGCATTTCTCCCGTCCGGCGGCGCAGGGTCGGCAGCGGCGGCGGCGGCGGGCGGCGCGGGCGGCGGCGGGGGCGGCGGGGCGGTGGTGAGTGCGTCCCTGGACGGCACGGTGCGGGCATTCGACCTGCTGCGGTACCGCTGCTTCCGCACTCTCACCACGCCGCAGCCCGTGCAGTTTGCGTCGCTCGCCGTGCACCCCTCGGGCGAGGTGGTGTGTGCGGCGAGCCAGGATGATTTCCAGGTGTACGTGTGGAGCATGCGGACGGGGCGGCTGTTGGACGTCTTATCAGGGCACGAGGGGCCCGTGCACAGCCTCTCTTTCTCTCCTACGCAGGTGAGCAGAGTGGTCATGGTCACCTAGTCAGTGCGAGGTGGTGTGTGCTGCGAGTCAGGATGACTTCCAGGTGTATGTGTGGAGCATACGCACAGGAAGGCTGTTGGACGTGCTGTCGGGGCATGAGGGGCCCGTGCATAGTCTCTCCTTCTCGCTCACGCAGGTGAGCAGAGCAATGTTGGGAGGTGACAGCTGAGATGAATTTCAGGTGTGTGTTTGTGGAGCATGCATACAGTTTTGCTTTCTCGCGCCCTTTTACCCCACTCTCCTCCCCTTCAGCTTTAGAGACTTTCCAACACAATTCCTGTAAGCCTCTCGTCTTCCCCCCCCATTGCACCACAGGAACTGCTAGCGTCAGCAGCGTGGGACAGCACGTGTCGCCTGTGGGACGTGTTTGAAGCCAAGGGCGGCACAGAGCCCCTCCCCCACTCGCACGAGGTGCTCGCCCTCGCCTTCCGCCCGGACGGCCGCCAGCTGGCAACCGCCACGCTGGACGGCCACATCCACCTGTGGGACCCCCTGGAGGGTGAGCTGCAGGGGAGTATCGAGGGGCGGCGGGATTTGGTCGGCGGGGCGGCGGCGGCGGGCGGCAAGGGCGGCAAGGCCGCGCGGGGGGCGCTGCGGCTGGGGGATAAGAGCTTTCGGAGTTTGTGTTACTCGGCGGATGGGTGTTTTTTGCTGGCTGCTGGGACAAGCCGATACGTGTGCCTTTATGACGTGGCCGAGATGGTGAGTGAGGGGTGCTGCGCTCTTCTCGTTTCCTCATGGATCTCCCCAGCTATCTCTGCATGAATCTTCCTTCCACCTTCCAGCTTCTACCAACACCCACCGCTCCCTTCTCACCCCCACCCGCTTCCTGCCCACCCCCTCCCACTCTCCCGCCCTTCCTCCCCCTCTCTTCTATCACCAGCTGCTGCTGCGGCGCTACCTCATAACGAGCAACAAGTCTCTCTCAGGCGCCATGGACTCACTCAACCCGCACCGCATGACAGACGCGGGCCCGCTCGACATCCTCGATATAAGCGACTCCGATTTGGACGACAACGACCTCGATGACTCGCACCACCAGCGCCGCCACACGCTGCTCGGCGCCGACCTCCCCGGGGCGGCGAGAAACGGCAGCCAGCGCCGCCCGGAGATCCGCGTGAAGGCAATCCAATTCTCGCCGACCGGGCAGTCCTGGGCGGCGGCGACAACCGAAGGGCTCGTAGTGTTTGGGTTGGATGAAGGGGTTGTGTTCGATCCATCGGATCTAGACATGGATGTTACACCGGCGGCTGTAGCGGCTGCTACAGCCGCTGGGCTGCATGCGAGGGCGATACAGATGGCGCTGCGGCTGAATGAGACGAAGCTGCTACAGGACGCGATGATGGCGGTGCCGCCCGAGCGGCTGGGTGGTACAGTGTCGGCCCTGCCAAGGAAGCGGCTGGGGAAGGTGGTGGCAGCGGTGGCGGCTATGCTGGAAGGGCGGCCTGAGCTGGAATACGTGCTGCTGTGGTGCAAGGTGAGGTGGGGGGAGTAGGGGAGGGGGTGTCGGGAAGGCTTGGGGACGTTTAAAGCCGAGGGTATGAAGGATGTGATGGGCGGGCGTAACTAGTGGCTCTGGTGTTGGAATGCTGGAGGGACAGCTGAGCTGGAATGCGTGCTGCTGTGGTGCAAGGTGAGTGGGGAGCGGTGTGAAGAGTGGAAAAGGAGGAGGGAGTGATTAAGGGGAGTGGCAATGGGAGTGTACGAGGGAGCACTGACTCTCATGCTCACCTCCTCCCTCATGCTCACCTCCTCCCTCATGCTCTCCTCCTCCCTCATGCTCACCTCCTCCCTCATGCTCACCTCCTCCCTCATGCTCACCTCCTCCCTCACGCTGGCACTTCTCTTATTTTCTGGCAAGACATGTATGGTGCGACCCGGCACATGCTGTCTCATTCTCCCACTCAGGCACGCTCTCACCTTCCCCTGCTCCCCCCCCCCCCCCCCCTCCCCCTCCTCCTCCCGCACTGCAGGAGTTGGTGCTGCAACACGGCAAGGCACTTGCCCTGCCGCCTGGCACGCCAGGGCGGGCGGCGCTGCGGCCGCCCATGCAAGCGCTGTCACGGGCGCTGACCCAGATGCACGATGACCTGGCGCTCTCTGCCTCGTCCAATCAGCACCTCCTGCAGTACCTCGACTCGCTGCCCGCTCCCCCCGTTCCCACCACGACTACATGATGCCATGGTGCTGACGTGGCATGCTGCTGATGTTGCTGGTACCCTGCTTCTGAAACCCCTCAGTGTTACGGTAGTTGAGACCATCGTCACCCAAAAACTCAGTCATGTAAAGACATCGTATGCTGACTTGTGACAAAACAACTTCGACACAGGACTTCGGGCAAAAAAAATACGGTACCGTATATGCAGCACCTGTTGTACAGGCAGTCACACACACAACACAATGGGCGTTCACTTTCACCAAGCATGTATACAGCCTCAATTGGCTGAGGAAAGCCCAACCACACACAAGGCTATAAACTGCTATCGCTTCCAGCCAAGATTGAAAGGGTTGTTAAACACAAACTGCACTCCTTTCGCTGCCCCATTGCCCCCCAACGAACCATTACCCCGCTTAGCCTCTCCACCCTACCACTCTGCCCTAGGTCATCTCGAGGTGCTGCCCGCCGGTGGTGCAGCTGGCGCTCAGGAGCTGTCGAGAGCGACTGGATGCTGGTCACCAGGCATGGCACTTCATCCTGTTGACGTACCAGGTCAGGGACAACCTGTACATCGGACAGCTAGAGGAGAAGATGACACACATTTGGATGGGCGAGCAGGAGTCGGCGACGGACTACTGCAACCGTGCTCGACGGATCCTGGCTGAGATGCGGATGGCGGGCGCCGAATACTCGACGGCGTCCTACAACACCCACATCGTCAAGGGCCTGCCGCGCGGCTACAACCTCATGAAGAGGATGATGATGGTATCCGGCACGCGTGAGTCCCTCGACGAGGAATCCATCAGTAGCTACATCCTCCAAGATGAGGCGATGCAGGAGGCAGAACAGCCCACGGAGCCCTTTCTGCAGGCAAGTTACGCTGCACTGACGAAGCAGATCCGTCAGCAGGAGCAGTGCGGGAAGCCGGGCGGAGGTGGTAGCGGAGGTGGGCGGTCGACGAAGGACGTCGACAAGAAGAGGTCGACGCGGGACAAGGGACGAGGAGGTGGTGATCGACGGCGGGAGTGCTGGATTTGCCACGACCTCGACCATCTCTCCTACGAATGTCCCGAACGCGACGACAGCGACGAGGACGACAACAGGGGAGGCCGCGGTCGATCGGCCAGCCGTCGCCCCCGTCGAGATGCAAAGCCGCGCAAGGAGAAGCAGACGTTGAAGACGACGTCGTCGACGAAGTACGTCGACAACTCCAGCGGCAAGGGCCGAGGCGACGGGGAGTCGTCGTGCTCGATGGTCGGCGTGGTGGAGCCGACAGTCCCGCTAGCGCCGGAGGCTGGCGAGGACTTCTAGGCCGTGGCGGCAGCTGTGCAAGCCAACCCGATGGCTGTGCTGCTTGACAGCGGCTGCTCCCACCACCTGATGGGGACGAATGCGGTCTTCGTCGACATGGTGCCGAGCGACGGCGCGAAGCACGTGCATGGATTCAACGGGGCACTGCAGCTTGTTGAGGGTCGCGGAACCGTCGCTCTGCAAGGGGAGGCCGGGAAGCGTGTCCTCATCCCCGACGTGCTCTACGTTCCGGGTGTACAGGCGAACCTGCTATCTGCTGGCCAACTGAAGGAGAGCGGAGTGCATCTGAAGGGCGACGGCGACGAGATGCTGCTCGTCGCCGTGAGCGGGGAGGTGCTCGGTCGAGCACGCTACACCGGACGAGTCATCTGCACCGACCTTCGCCCCTGCTTGACGCGGTCGCATTCGACCGAGGAAGTAGCTCTGCGGACGATCGTCTCGGCGACGAAGTCGACCCCTGACCGGTTGCATGCGAGGCTCGCGCACGTCGACGTCGACACGATCAAGAGCTCGGCGAAACATGAAGTTGCTACTGGGCTCGACATCACCCCGTCGACCGGAGCAGACCCGCCATGTGTCTCGTGCGTCGGAGGAAAGCTGGCGCGACACACCTTTCCCGACAAAGGCTCGGACGCCGAGGAGGCGCTGACTGTCGTGCACATTGACTTGTGCGGGCCATTTCGGGTTGCTGCCAAGGATGGCAGCTTGTACATCTTGCTGCTGAAGGATCGCCACACTCGGTTTGTGTGGGTGATGCCGGTCGCTAAGAAGAGCGACGTGCTGCGGGAGTTCCAGAAGTGGCTGGTGCTGGTGGAACGGCAGGCGAAGAAGTCAGTGCTGATGCTCCGCTCAGACCGGGGAGGGGAGTTCCTCGGGAAGGAGTTCACAGACTTCGTCGACGGCAAGGGCATCGTCCACGACCTGACATGCCCTTACACTCCGCAGTAGAGCGGCATGGCTGAGCGGGAGATGCGCACGGCTGTCGAGTCCGTGAGGACGATGCTGCTACACATGGGCGTGCAGCACCACTGGTGGTACCTCGCTCTACGACAAGCTGTTTGGGTACGCAACTGCTTGGAGCGGTCGACGACGCCGCCGGAGACGACTCCGTACCAGCTGCTGACCGGGAAGAAGCCCGACCTCACGCTGACGCGTGTCTGGGGCTGCATGGTGCAGTTCATGGTTCCTAAGCAGCAGCGTGGTGGGAAGCTGGTGCCGAAAGCTCGCTGGGGGCTTCACCTGGGCGTGTCATCGGAGAGTAAGGGCTGGGAGGTGCTCGACCTGACCGACAACAAGGTGGTCACGTCGGTCGAGGTGATCTTCTACGAGACGCTGTCGCTGGAGGTGTGGAAGGCAAAGTTTGGGCCGGCGTCGGGGCGAACGCAGGCACACCAGCTGACGGACACCTCGACGGTGACGGTCCCCTTGCTCGCCGAAGTCAATGAGCCTGCTGATGAGGATGTTGTGGAGGCTCTTCCCCCTCCCCTTGTTCTTGCTCCTCCCTTCCCCGTCGCAGATCGGCCTGCGTCGACACCTGTGTTGGCCACCGGCGATTAGGGGAGCCTTGAGGCGTTGCCTATGGCGCTGGACAGTGGCCTCGCTGGCGGTCGACAAGGTGCCAAGCTCGTCGACCAGGATGGGAAGCCGTCGACGACAAGGGAGCAGCAGACAGGGGAGCCGGTCGAACAGGAGGCAGCAGCAGGGGTGCAGTCGACAGGGGAGCAGCAGACGGGGCAGTCGACAAGGGAGCTGTTGGCAGGAGAAGAGTCCATCGATAGCGATGTGGTGGAGGTTCCGGTCGAGAAGCCTGAGCTGCGATGCACAGGTCGAACTCGGAAGCCGCCGGAGCGGCTGGTCTTCCATGCCTGCCTGCCCCCAGCTGCCTTCACCACGGTGTACGACAAAGTCGACGATGACCTGCTCTACGACGGCGCCGAAGATGACGTCGACCTGCCGGAGCTCGACCCCAACGTACACGCTAACCCGAATACCGTTGGGACATCGCCACGATGACGGTGAAGGAGGCGCTGGCGAGCAGGAAGGGCGAGGCGGTGAAGGCTGCCATGGAAGAAGAGATCCGCAGCCTCATCAGGGTGAACATCACGAAGAACCGGTGGGTGCTGACGACCAAGTACCGCATCGATGACACCGTCAAGCGCGAGAAGGCGAGGCTGGTCGTGAAGGGCTTCACGCAGGTGTACGGCGCCGACTACGACGAGACGTACTCGCCGATGAGCAGCTACGTCACGCTGAGGATCTTCCTCAACATCGTCGCCGTCCTCAACCTCAACCTGATGCATCTCGACATGAAGAACGCTTTCCTGCAGAGCAAGCTCGACAGGGTGCTCTACATGTACCAGCCGGACTTCTTCGACGATGGGACCGGCCGGGTGTGTAAGCTGCTGAAGAGCCTCTACGGGCTGAAGCAGTCGTCACTACTGTGGTACATGGCTCTCGATAGTGTGCTGCTGGGCGCTGGCTGGAAGAAGAGCCAGGTCGACACGGCGCTCTACTTCATGGCCGGCGACGACGAAGTGACCTGCTGGGTGCTTGTCTACGTTGACGACCTGCTCGCCGCCAGCAGCAGCCCCGCGATGCTGAAGGAGCTGAAGGAGCTGCTGGAGGCCACCTTCGAGCTGCGCGAGATCTCGCCGATGCGGAAGTACCTTGGGCTAGAGATCGTGCGTGACAAGCCACCGAGGAAGCTGTGGCTGCACAAGCAGAACTACGCCGACAAGCTGCGCAGGCGCTTCATCGACGAGGAGCAGGGCGGTCGAGTCCCGAAGACGCCAGTCTCGGTCGATGCCTACGCCGAGCTGACATTCGATGACGAAGAGGCGCAGGAGCGCGATGTTGAAATGTATTTGTATACATTACTATACATGCCTACAGTAGATCCTAGTGTAGCTATATTCCTTCTTGTTTTGGTGGTGCACCCCCTTCTTCCCCATATATGTTTCTGTTTTGCTATAGTGAAACCACTTCTTTCTCGACTTTTCTCTTGCCTAAACTCCCTCGAAATTCAACCCTAGCATGGTTCCTACCCTCCTAGCTACTATCTTGACATGGTATTAGAGTGGTTACGACCTAATGGGCCCACCGCATTTTAATCCTCGCATGGCGTCCGCCTCGCTGGCACCCGTCGATTTTCAGCCCGTCGCGTGCCCCGGGCGCGCGTCGGTTTTCTGCTCGTCCCCTCGCCGGACGCCCTGTCGCCCCACGCCCCCCCCGTCGCCTTGCGCCGTTTCGTCGCCATGCGCCCCCCCCCCCCCCCCCCGTCGCTCCTTGCTGTTTCGTCGCCCCGCGGCCTCGTTGCCCGCGGCCTCGCCTGCACCGTCGCCAGCCCCGCGCACGTTCGTCGCGCCGCCCTTGCGCCTGCCCGTCGAGTGCACCACCGTCTGCCCGACGCGCTGCACCTGCGACCCCCGGGCCAGCCCAAAGCTTCCCTCCCACGCCCCACCCATCACGCCCCAGCATGTTACCCCACCCGCCCTCCCGTCGGCCCCGCTGTTGCTGCCGAGTTTGCTCCTGACGTGGGGGGGGAGGGGGGTGAGTTGGGGGTGGTGGCCGTGAGTGGGGGTGACGGGGGTGGATTCAGCCGTGGCTCCCGCCACTTATGCTGCTCGTACAACCGAGGAGGGGGAGGGGGGAGGGTGTGGAGGTGGCGGGAATGTACCCGAAGGAACCAGCTCGTCGTGCGACCTGCTG